GGGGGTTGAAGCCACTGGGTCTGGGACTCGAACTGCCATCGACTACATGGGAGTCCAGCAACATAGACATTACGCTAACTGCTGGTCCCAGTACTCTAGCATTATTAAAAAAGAAAGAAAGATAGAAAAGATACAGTGGCAAAGGTGCTGAACTCCCACGTGGCTGACCACAGTTCAAGTTTCGGACCTGGTGGCTTAAAAATGATGCAGGGCGTGTGTGCGTGTGTGCCCAAGATCCCAGGGGGAGGATGGAGGAGAAGGGATTGCAGTGTAGCCATCCTCCCTGGGGGGTGATTTCTCACTTTCCCTCTCACTGTCTCTCTCTTCTCTGGGGAACACACACACCCTATGGTGAAAACCTTTAAAAAAGAAATACTATCACTCCATCGTCCTCCTGCTGGCTAAGCCTGGCAAAGAGGGGAGGGAAGGCCTTCCATGCCAGCATCTGGGATGCCCCCACGGGGTGAGGAGGAGGCCGGGACCCCATTCCTAGACCACCTCTGAGACACTGTGTCTGGCTCTGGGTTCGGATGTTCTGAACAGGGACGGGAGAGGCCGAGAGGGGCCCACATTCTGGTGCACCAAATCCCGGACTTCTGCAGAAATGACCCCGTTTCCTCCCTGCCCTGTGCTCTGGGCTTCTGGAAAGAATACCAGGAGGATTCCTGTGAATACATGCGTGGCTGGCAGCCTTTCTGAGACCAGCCAGAGGAGGAGGGCGGCCATGCAGAGCCTCCTGTGGGGGGAGCAGGCTTGCTTCAGGGACACCTTCTTGACTTCCAGGAGAACACGCAGGCTGCCAGATCAGGCGGCGTCTGGAGAAGATTCTGCAGCTACCAGCTCCTGCAGAGTGAGAGGGAGACTCCGGTGATCCCTCCAGCTGTTTCAGTCAAACCCTCCAGTCCTCCGTGACCACCTGCCCAGCAAGGTGTGGGGCTTCCATTTGCTGCTTGGAGGTAAGTCTCGGCCTGGGGCTGCTCATCTGCTAATTTCAGGACACCGTGGGGAGGACCCTTGGAGGGCACAATGAAATCTAAATCCCCTTATTTATTTATTTTGAGATTTTTGCTATAGGACATGTGCACTCACCAGAGAGACAGAGAGACAGACAGAAAGCAAGAAATCACCCTCTGGTGAGGATGGCCACACTACAATCCCTTCTCCTCCATTCTCCTTGGGATTTTGGGGATGTATGCACATGCACCTGGTGTAAACTTTTTTTATTTTTAATAAGTGAGAGCTTTTTTCTTTTAAATAATTGTTTTACTTATTTATTTTTCTTTTTAAAATTAACAATTTATGGGACCAGCAGTTGGTGTAATGGCTATGTCGCTGGACTCCCACATAATTGACTGCAGTTCAAGTCCTGGACCTGGTGGCTTAAACTCATACTGGGCGCGTGTGCGTGTGTGCCCAAGATCCCGAGAGGAGAATGGAGGAGAAAGAACTGCGGTGTGGCCATTCCCCCTGGGGGGTGATTTCTCACTTTCTGTCTCTCTGTCTTTCTGGCGAGCACACGCGCCCTATAGCAAAAACCTCTCCTAAAAAAGAAAAAAAAAGAAAAGAAAAGAAAAATTAACAATTTACTTGACTTTTTATTTATTTATTTATTTACTTACTTATTTTAATTTGACCAGAGAGTGACAGAGTAAGAGAGAGAAAGAGAGGGGGAAAGTGAGAAAGCAAGCTGCCAGGTCCAGCACGTGAACTGCAGTCGGCCATGTGGGAATCCAGCACCCCTAACCACCGCACCACCTGCCGGCCCCTTTAATTGATTTATTGTCATTATTTTATTTATTTATTTATTTGAAGTTGACCAGAGAGGGACAATGAGGAATGAGAGAGAAGGAAAGTGAGAAAGCAAGCTGCCAGGTCCGGGACTCGAACTGTGGTCAGCCATGCGAGAGTCCAGCCACCTTAACACACCATGCCACCTATTGGCCCCGGGCTCACTGTGAGTTTTAAGCTGCCGAGTTGGGGACTTGAACCATGGTCAACCATGTGGGAGTCTAGTGCCTTAACTACTATTCCACGTGTTGGGCCCGACACCGAGTTGTACGGTGAGCTGCCCTGGGCACTCATGGGCCAAGGCAGAGGACGTGGAAGGATCAGGCCAGGTCAGTCCCTCCTGGTGCTTCCTGCTAAGCTGCGGGGACTCGGCCAGGGAAGGAGGTAGACGGGGCCTTGCAGAAGCAGGGTGTGTGTGGCTGGCCTCGTGGTTGAAGGAGCTGGATCCCATGTGGCCAACCAAGGGGTTCAAGTCCCAGCCCAGCTTGAAAAAGGCGCATGTGCATGCCCCCACAGGGCAGAGCCGCGGAGGAGAAGGGATCGCAGCATGGCCAGTCCCATAGAGGGTGCTTTCTCCCTCTCCCTCGCTCTTTATTTTATTTTATTTTTTGAGAGGTTTTTGCTATAGGGCGCATGCACTCGCCAGAAAGACAGAGAGAGACAGAGAGACAGAAAGCGAGAAATCACCCCCCAGGGGGGATGGCCACGCCGCAATCCCTCCTCCCCCATTCTCCTCTCGGGATCTTGGGCACGCACGCACATGCGCCCGGCGTGAGTTTAAGCTACCAGGTCCAAGACTCGAACCGCGATTGACTACATGGGAGTCCAACGACATAGCCATTACGCTAACTGCTGGTCCCTCCCTCGCTCTCTTTTAAAGTCTGGTAAGCTGTAAAAAACAGTAGGGGCATGTGAGCTTTGGGGGCTCCCAGGAGGAGATGGGGTCCTTGCTGGGATGAGTCCTGAAGGGGTTCATAAGCAGGGAGCACCGTGGAGGGCCGAGATAGGGCCTGGCGTCCTGGCAGAGGGATTGGCTAGGTAGGCCCTGGACAGCAGCTCACGTTCCAGGGGCTGCGAGGAGACCCCTGGCCATGTTCTACGGCGAAGCTGGAAGTTACACTGTCCTTCCAGAAAGGGGCGGGAAGTGCCTCAGGCCAGGCCTGACCCCGCTGTCCCCTGAGCAGCAGAGCCATGAAGAAGCGGTTTGTGGCCCTAGGCCTGCTGGCCGTGGTCCTGGTGCTGGTCATCATCGGCCTCTGTGTGTGGCTGCCCTCGGCCTCCAAGCAACCCGAGACCCCGGGCCAGCTGTCGCCGCAGATGCCAAGCGCTGCTCTGAGATTGGCAGGTGAGTGGAGCCGCTGGCCCTGGGCGGGTGTGGGCAGCGTGGGACACGGATCCTGGGGGCAGCTATGCAGATGGACTTGGGCTAGACCCTCAGCCCCCAGACTCGGTTTCCCCACCTGTGATGGGGCTGCCTGCACAGGGGTGCCTGATGTGCACCGGCTATTCCCTACCCTTTCCGGGGGCCGCCTTGGTCGCCTCCGGTCAGGGGAGACGGGACAGGGACCCTGAGAGCAGGGTGCGGGCCTCCCAGCAACCAATAGGGTCCCTTTTTCAGTTTTTTTCTTTTGGAGGTATTTTTGCTATAAGGCGTGTGCTCACCAGAGAAACAGAGAAAGACAAAGAGACAGAAAGCGAGAAATCACCCCCAGGGGGGATGACCATGCTGCAATCCCTTCTCCTCCATTCTCTTCTCAGGATCTTGGGCACGCACGCACATGTGCCCGGCGTGAGTTTAAGCTACCGGGTCCAGGACTCGAACCGCATTTGACTACATGAGAGTCCAGTGACATAGCCATTATGCTAACTGCTGGTCCCTATCAGTTTTAAGTATATCTGTCTCTGGATAAACACCGCTGTTCTATTTTAGACACTTACCCAAAAGACAAAAATCAATCCCTACTTAATGATCTTAAGCAGAGAAAAATGTTATTAATAAAAGTAACTTCTCTCACTTCCAGCCCGTTTGGGCAGGGCAGGCAGAGGTGGACGGGTGGGTGGCCAGGGGCGCCTTGTGGGTGGTGCGCGGAGGCCAGGGCGGTCACACCTCACCCCCAACGTGGCGCGGCAGGGACATGCTGCGGGAAGGTGGCTCGGCGGTGGACGCGGCCATCGCGGCCCTGCTGTGCGTGGGCCTCATGAATGCCCACAGCATGGGCATCGGGGGCGGCCTGTTCCTCACCATCTACGACAGCGCCACGCGTGAGTGTCTTGGGAGGGGCGTGGGCAGGGGGTGCCGTGTGCAGCTGGACTCGGCCTGGGGGAAGGACAGTCAGGTGGCCTCTGGGCTCAGGCAGGGGGGTGGTGGGGCTGGGGTGGGGCTGGCTCCCTACCTGCTTCCCCTTCCAGGAAAAGCAGAGATCATCAATGCCCGCGAGGTGGCCCCGGGGCTGGCTTCCGCCAACATGTTCAACAACTCTCAGCAGTCGCAGGAAGGTATGGGCAGAGGCGGGCGCGCTGCGGGGGAGGCCCAGGGCAGCCCTGGCCCGCTCCCACCCTGTCCTGGGCCCACCACTCCTTCCCGTAATGAATGGACAGGGCAGGGCGGGTTCCAGGGGGCTTCTGTTACTTCTGCTCAAACCTTTCCAGGGCCAGTGTAAAGGATCATTATTACTATTATTATTATTATATTTGGAGAAATGTTTGCTATAGGGCACACACGTTCACTGAAGAGAGAGACAGACAGAAAACGAGAACTCACCCCTCAGGGGGATAACCACGCTGTAATCCCTTTACCAGTTTCCTCTCAGGATTTTGGGCACACATGTTCATGTGCCCAGCATGAGTTTCAAGCTGCCAGGTCCAGGATTCGAACCACAGTCAGCCATGTGGGAGTCCAACACCTTAACCACTATACCACCTACTGGTCCTTATTTTTCAAATGATTTCTTTCTTTATTATGGTTTTAAATTTGCTCTAGGGCACATGTGCTTGCTGGAGAGACAGAGAAAGACAGAAAGCAAGAAAGCACCCCCAGGGGGATGGCCATGCCACAATCCCTTCTCCTCCAGTTTCTTCCGGGGATTTTGGGCACGCACACACATGTGCCTGGTGTGAGTTTCAAGTCACCAGGTCCAGGATTCAAACTCTAGTTGGCCTGGGAACCAGCAGTTAGTGTAATGGCTATGTCGCTGGACTCCCACGTAGTCGACCGTGGTTTGCATCCTGGACCTGGTGGCTTAGAACTCACGCCGGGTGCATGTGTGTGCGTGCCCAGGATCCCGAGAGGAGAATGGAGGAGAAGGGATTGCGGTGTGACCATCCCCCCTGGGGGGTGATTTCTCGCTTTCTGTCTCTATGTCTCTCTCTGTCTGTCTGGCGAGCGCACGCGCCCTACAGTGAAAATCTCTCAAAAAAAAAAAAAAATAGATACATTAAAAAAAAAATAGAGGCGTCAAGACAGCTTGGGTTCAGTCCCCACTCCCTGCCTCCTGCTTTACCACCTCAATCTGCCTGACCTCCCGGCCTCATTGTCACCACTTGCGACATGGGACTCAGCTCAGTACATTATAAACAGCTCTGAGCAGTGAGTGTACCAGCTCCCAGGATCCGGGTAGGTGAAAGCTACCCCGCATGCGTGTGCCTGCTATGGACAGCCCCAGTGGGTGTGCACTCTTGCCCTCGTGCTGAGCCCAGATATGACCTTACAAGGTTCCTTTCCCTCTGTCTGTCTTTATTATTTTTCTTTTTTGGTAAGAATTTTGCCTTAGGGCATGTGTGCTCACTAGAGAGAGACACAGAGAGAGATGGAGAGAGAGAGGAAAAGAGAAATTACAAGGGGTGTGGGGGGAGGTGGCCATGCTACAATCCTTTCTCCTCCATTCTCCTCCCAGGATCTTAGGACTTATTCCTAGCGTGATTTTTCCAGCCACTGGGTCCTGAACTTAAACCATGGTCGGCCATGTGGGAGTCCAGTGACGTAACCGCTATGCCATCTGCTGGCCCCTGGTTTTCTTATTTTACAAATAAATGGTGGTTGAAGTGCTTGACTCCCACATGGCCGACCACAGTTCGAGTCCTGCACCTGGTGGCTTGCTCTCTCACTTTCCTTCTCTCTTTCTCTGTCTCTGGTCAAACAAAATAAACAAAAGTTTTATTTATTATTTTTTAGAGAGATTTTTTTGTTATAGGACGTGTATGCTAGCTGAAGAGACAGAGAAAGACAGAGAGGCAGAAAGCGAGAAATCATTGGGGGGGGATGGCCACGCTGCAATCCCTTCTCCATTTTCCTCTCGGGATCTTGGGCACGCATGCACATGCACCCGTCCTGAGTTTAAGCCACAGGGTCTGGGACTCCAACCACGTTCGACTATGTAGGAGTCCAGTGACGTAGCCATTACACCATCTGCTGGTCCCAGTAAATAAAATTAAAAAGAAAAAAATAATAATACCCTCATCTGGCATTTTAATTTTTTAAACTTTTTAATTTAAATTTTTTTGTGTGTGCTTGCTGGAGAGAAATAGAGTGGGAGATTGGGAAATCACACTCCATGGGGATGGCCATGCCCCAATCCCTTCTCCTCCCCAGATTTTGGGCACACACACATGCCCGGTGTGATTTTCAGGCCGCTGGGTCCAGGACTAGTCCGTGCAGTTGGCCATGTGGGGTTCAGTCCCTTAATCACCGCGCCACCTGCTGGCCCACAAGTCCCTTTCCTTCTGAGCCTCACTGAGCTGTGAGAAGCCCCCTGTCCCCTGCTTGGGGCTAAGGGCTAACCAGGTCCCCTGCTCCCCCAGGCGGACTATCGGTGGCGGTTCCCGGTGAGATCCGAGGCTACGAGCTGGCGCACAAGCGGCATGGGCGGCTGCCCTGGGCGCGCCTGTTCGAGCCCAGCATCCAGCTTGCCCGGGGCGGCTTCCCTGTGGGCAAAGGCTTGGCCGGAGCCCTGGAGAGGAGCCGGGCCACCATCGAGCGGCGGCCTGCCCTGTGGTACGTCTGTGGACCTGGGCCTGCCGGGCTCAAAGGTCCCTGCGCCGTTTTCAGGAGCCCACGTTGATGGGGTGCAGGGGTCATGGAGGGGCACACCCTTCACGCTGCATGTGGGGACACGTCCTGAGCCTGGCGCCTGGCTCCGCTAGCCACGCATCCTAAGTGTTGGGGAAACCAGGAGGCGTGGCTGGACTGGCCAGAAAAGCCCCAGGAGACAGGGCCGCCCACCAGCGCAAACCGGCTCTTTGTGTTGGTCCGCCCCACCCCTGCCCGTGGTAGGGGGGCCCGTGGTAGGGGTGGCCGAGTCCGCCCCCCTGCAGCCTCACGCCAGCCCCCCCTGTCCCAGCGAGGTGTTCTGCAAGAACGGGAAGGTGCTTCAAGAGGGGGAGACGCTGACTCTGCCCCGGCTGGCTGACACCTACGAGACACTGGCCCGTGAGGGCCCCCAGGCCTTCTACAACGGCAGCCTCACGGCCCAGATCGTGAAAGACATCCAGGCAGCTGGTGAGTGGGCAGCCTTGGGGGCCTGGACAAGGACACCCGGCAGTCGGGAACCCTGGGTTGGGGCCCAGAGCCCTGGGGCCCCCCTGCCCTGCTTGGACTGGGCACTGGGCCCTGGAAGAACTTTTGGAGGGGAGCAATCAGCCACGGGTCTCAGGTTCGATCAAGCTGAGGGCAGCTGTGCAGTTCAGAAAAGTCCCCAGTGGGGTGACCGCAGGAGGCAGGAGCGGAGGCCTGGAAGCTCTCAAATGCAGACTTGGGTGATCTGGGAGGACTTCCTGGGGGAGGCAGGGTTGAGTTGCAGATGACTGTCAGTCAGAGAAGAAAGGATTCCTAACAGAAGGAATAGCTCGGGCTAAGTCCCAGAGGGAGGGGGTTTTGGTGCTCCAGGAAGGTCGTGGGGATGAGGGTGGGCTTAGTGAGGGCTGTGTGAGGCAGGGGCCCTGGAGCTTGGTTGCAACTCTCTACACGTTATGAATATTTTTATCGGTGTTTGTGGAGGGAGGTGATTAGCACTTGACCTTGACCACTGGTGTCAGAAATGAGCTGCTAATCCCGTCTGTCTGGAGTGGGTTCCTGGGTGCATTGCGAACCTCCCTTGACCCCATTCATCCTGGGGGAGGCAGCTGAGCCGCGGGATGGGAGGAAGAATCTCCACGTAGAAAAGACCCTTTGACTGGATTGGGAGGCCGGTGACACAGGCCGGTGGAGGGCAGCTGGCCCCGGGCCTGGCCATGGGTGGTGGGATACACTGGCTGGCCGAGGGAGGCCCGTGGAGAGACCGAGGGGGCGGAGCTTCTCGCTTTCTTTCTTTCTTTCTTTCTTTTTTTTAAAGAGAGATTCTTGCTATAGGGCACATGTGCTCACTGGAGAGACAGAGAGACAGAGAGAAAGAAAGTGAGAAATCACCCCCCCAGGGCGGATGGCCACGCCGCAGTCCCCTGTTCATTCTCCTCTCGGGATTTGGGGCACGCACGCACATGCACCTGGTGTGAGTGTAAGTTGCTGGATCCAGGACTTAAATTGCAGTCAACTACATAGGAGTCCAGCATTGTCCATCTGCTGGTCCCAGGGCTCCCAGCTTAATGGCCCTCTTGTCCCAAATAGTGTCCCCCTGTGCCCCCTCCTCTCAACCTGCAGCCTTGTCTTCCCCGCCATGGTGTAAGCTCTGTGACTCCCGTCCTCCTCGTGGTGCAGCCAAGCACCCCCTGATGGAGCAGCTCTGAACCCTCTCCACTGAGCAGCCCCATCCTGTAACTCCCCTCTGCTGTCCCCATTGCAGGGGGCATCGTGACGGCAAAGGATCTGAGCGAGTACCGCGCCGAGCTGATCGAGCACCCGCTCAACGTCAGCCTCGGAGACATGGTGCTCTACGTGCCCAGCGCCCCTCTCAGCGGACCCGTGCTGGCCCTCATCCTCAACATCCTCAAAGGTGAGCGCCCCCATCCCAGGCCTGCCTCTCTGTCCCCGTGCTCCACACCTGCTGCATCGCAGAGGCCCGGGCCTCCCCACCCGGTCTCTCCCAGGGACCGGCACCCGCAGCGTGTCCTACAGGAACCTGGTGGACGCTAAGGGGGTGGTTAGGAGGGGAAGAGGTGTGGGTGAGTTCAGAGCATGGCCCCCAATCCAGAGGCCGCACCTTGTAAATCACAGCGGTCAGACTGGAGTCCTCCACGTCGCTGGGGCCCTCGCCTTTACCCCTCCTTCCAAAGGCCTCTGGAGCAGCTGCTGCTGTTGGTTATTAAATGCTCCCTTCTTTTGGGACTAGCAGTTAGCATAATGGCTATGTTGCTGGACTCCCATGTAGTCGACTGCGGTTCGAGTCTTGGACCCGGTGGCTTAAACTCACGCTGGGTGTGTGTGCGTGCG